ATATATAAAATTAGGTATATATTTTATTATAAAATGTAACACGTAGCTAACATTTTATTTTTTTATTTAATATCGACTTTCTCATTTTCTTCGTTTTGTCATTGATATATATCTTGATTTTGTTGTAAATAATACGGAAGTTGAATCTAATAAAAATAACGTCTTGTAACATTATAGAGAAAGCGATATTCTATTACATATTATATATATTTTATCACTTTATTATATTTAAGCTCAGCCATATTCCTTTTAGATAATGCTAATATATTAGATATTTTTCAAATTGAACATAGATGTATCCCTTATTTTTAGAATGATATTAGAAACGTATGAGATGTATCTTTCTGAAATGTATCTTTAATGAAGATTCGTAACAATTTCCTTACAAATGATCAAATTAAATATGCTTCATTTAATATGTATATTTCTATTTATATTTTACAGTACGTACGATGTTTTACCATATACAAATTAATGATACTTAAACAACATTTATTTAAACTGAATTATAGAATATATATGCTCTGTGCTCAATTATATTTACCTGTAATTGATATCTCGCTCAATTTTTACATATAATACATAGGCTGCGTTCGGATAGTATGCTTGCAGTCATTCTATTCTGATTTTATTTAATAAACGGTAAAGATAGAACGACATTGTTGATAGCATGCTATCAACCATAATTGGTTGAACCGAACGCAACCATATAGAAAACATTTTAATAACTTTGTTCTTGCAGGCTTTCATATTTCAATTTCACAGATTTAACAAAATATAATATAAGATCATTTTGTGTTGTAGTATCATTTTTATTGCTGTGCATTATTTTTTTTAATCAATTGTCGCGATATTTTTTGAAAATATTTGCTGTAATAAGAATTTATAAGAAAGGACGCAAAAATATAAGACATTCACATATTTTATACATATATAAAATATGCGAGTATCTGACATTTTTATACATGTACATGTGCAGTATATATATTATTTATACAGTCAACTTCATATAATTGAAGAAAAAAAATATACCTTTTTGCATCCCATTCTTGTAACACCAGTAAAAAATTTTATAAGTAATTGAATAAGTGCTTGTAGAAAACATTTGAGATAACAATTGTGGAGAGGAATTTATTGGCTTGAATATAGAAGGCAAAGTATACATAAAGAATATTCGATTTATATTTCTATCTGGTGTTTTGTTCAGAACAAAATATGGCCATCTGATTCAAAGTTTTCATTTGTGCACAAAATAATACCATTAATATCACGAGCTGAGAATCGTATAGCCATATCTGCTTCTCAATCTACGATAAATACAGACTAGAATATAAATGCGTTTGAAAATATAATGGTAGCTTTAAAAGCAATTAGTTTTATGTAAACTTCTACGATGTACTTTTATCCATTTAATATCATAAGATAGTAATATTTCACTAGCTTAGTAAATCTCTTCAGTGTACTTGTTATTAAAAAGTATCTCCTAGAAATTGCAGTTTTTACACATAGTTTCATATTTTCATAAGCAAATTTTCCATACGTGTTTACCCCTAATAAGGATCCATAATCATTCTCTGTTTTATATATCGCAGTGTCCTTCCATTTGTAAGAATTAACTTTAGATATGAACGGATCCATTCTTACATTTGTTAAACTAAACTACATACATATATGTGTATATACATATAAAATATTCCATTGCATATTTTCTCTCTGAACATTACAATCTAAAATATTTCAAGTTTTCTCAAATTATTCTAGCAAAGTCCTACATTAAAATTTCTTTTTAAAATTAAATATATCTGAAAATTCCAATCTTTAGTCTTGTAACTATAAAATTGTTGAAAATAATTAATAATTTGACAATAAAGTTATTGATAATTGAGAGAAAATGTGCGATGTTTAATGCATACATGTACATACGCATACACAATACTCCATTTTATGACATGTCTGGAATAAACTCAGCAGTAAAAAATTGTATGTCTTTAGCATATAGCAGTGTGTCAATTATACAATATATTCACAATAGCGTATCACACATATATACATACTTATTCTAATAGTGAATCCTACAGAAAAAGTTTATTTCATTTTTAGTTTATGATTCGTGATACTGTATCAATATTCTAATGATGTTTTAACTCTGATAATGTATCCTAATAATGTTTGAAATATACGTGTGTATGTTAAATCGATTATTAATTTTCAGTCTTGCTCTAGCATTTAATTTTATATACATATATACAGTAAAGTGAACAACTCCTTTTAAGGACATTAAAAAAAAAATTAATATTATAATTAAATTTTAATAGATAAACATTTTTAAGATAATATTATATCTTATAAGACTGCATATGTGAGAAACACAACCTATAAAAATCAATGCCTAAAGCGGTCTAGCTGAAGTGAATCTTAAGTGCTTATATGATTTTGTGTGAATTTACATAACTATTGTATGTATGTGAATTTACATACTATTGTATGTAGTCCTTTAAAATGCATCGAAATGATTTTTCGATCTTGAAACGCAAACTCTAGTAAACTACTGCAGTAATATCACGAGTTAAATTGATTAGCAAGTTAACAATTTTGCTTTTTCTCATCTAATTTTTAAGATAATTGTTAATGAAACACATAAATAAAAAATATATTTATTTTTTAAATATAATATTATATTATTATATTTGTAAATAACTAATAACTTAATGTATAACATCACTGAGATCACAACAAAAATTATGTCAAGTTATGAGATCACATTTATTTTTTAAAATTATACTTTTCTATTGAAGGTATTTAATCATATCTGGGTTTTTAAATAAAAAAATCATAAAATTCTTTACATTAGTTAAAAATTACATTTCACACTTATTATTTTCATTTATTATTTCACATTTATTTTTTCTTAAAAGAGGAACAGTATATAATCATGTCCTTATAATTTGGAACGAATTTTTGGGACGCGTTATAAAATGAGACAAAGAGTTTTTAGGACTATCTTGTCTAGTTCAAGAGGATTGGTCACGAGGATGTCCCATAAATTTTTGCCAAAAGCTTTTGTGTAGATAGAGTGCACTAAATCGAGTTGAAAAAGGTCTTCCTTTCTAAAAAGGTCAATTTGAACATCTCAAGATCGAAGGCCACCTTCTTTCCTCCTAGTAACTACGAGTAATTTTTTGTCTTCAACTTAAGAATTTTTGTAGATAAACAAGGATGTAATAATTCACTGTGTTTCACTATATCTGACTGTGTCCTTGCTGGAAAAGACGTATGTAATTCCATAATTACAGTTTAATTAATAATTTATTTTTAATAAAAGAACTGTAGAAAGACTATTTTTCATTTTATTTATACGAACTATTTGTTTATTTATATATAAGCTTTCCTGTATTGTATCAGCAACAAATTCTTTGGCTAATCTGAAATCTTTCCTTAGTAAAAATATTTATAAAAATATGGTAATGTATAATAAAACAAACGCAATCTGTACAAATATATAAATGAGTAGAAAAGAATTAAAGTTATTTATATAATTACTTTCAATTGGTATGGAATTATATGGAAACTGTCGTACATATTATTTAAATATCAATTCAATCACAATTCCGAAATCCAAATTGAAACAATATAAAAACAAAGAATACAAAATTATATAAACGGAAAAAAATATATATACCATCTCAAAAACGTATACTCTTATAGCTTCCTTCGTCACATATACATTTAACAATTTAATATTAACGTAATTTATATCTTTTTTTCCAGATTTCTTATAAATCTTATTGAAACTACAATGTGTTTTATCAACATAATAAGTTTTTATTCATTTCTATGAAGTACAAAATAAATATAAAATCAATTGTTGACATTACTGCTTAGAAACAGATGAAAGAAAAAGATTGGCCGTTATTTCTTTTCTATTCCCTTCCTCTTTATTGTTCTCTTCGCATTCCTCTACTAAATATCTTTGAAACACTTCTGCGACTATAACAATATCATTAGCAGAAGATATAGAAATTATTATTATAGGACTTTTCATATCAGCTTGTATACCTGATTTGGAGATACATTTGCAGTGGGCATACTCGGAAGTATACCTGAGTACATTTAAAAGTTAACTTGGGTATACTAGCAGGTATAGAAATACCCAAAGTTTTTTTCAGGTATATGTTGGAAAAGAACAGATATGAAAATAATTTTAGAAAAGATGCCAAGCACTCTTCTTTTAAAAATTATAGAAATGCATTTTTTTTAAATTATAGAAATTATGTTCTTATATTCAATGTTCTTATATTCTCTTTCTAGAACTCTTTTTTTTTTTATTATTTAGGCCCCTAATCTGTAATTTTTAATAACCGTAACTAATCTCTCATAAGATTATTATATTTATTGGATACGCTTTGATCACATTCAAAACCTGCGCAATGACATATAACGTTATTGATCGTTAGTTAAGGATCATTTTGATACATCGTATAGGTTTGTTAATATCGAATGACTATTTATAATGGATATAGAAATATCAATATATTCATCAATGTAAAAACTATTTATAAACTATTTACCCTGTACTAGTTTATTAAGTAATACGAATAAAACTATCAAATTAATTAACAGATTTAATTTAATATATCAAAAAAAAAAAAATTAAGAAAAATTATATGTTGGAAATATTTTAACATTCTTGCCGATCGAGTGAATCGTTAATTAAAGTTAAGTTGGATCAAAATGGCTCGGAGAGAGTTACAGAATAGAATTATTAAATTTATATTAGAGTTACATAGAAATTAAAAAAGTAAATAGGTCAAAAAACGAGCAAAGAAAGATCTAATTTAAAGTATATATATTTCACATTACATCACAAAATTAATATTCGATGTCAAAGTTACATTTCATGGTAACTTTATCGAATATTAATTTTGTGATGAAAATATTACATTATTTTAAATTACTATTTTTAGATCTTATCTTTCCTTGCTCGCTTTTTTGACCTATCTACTTTTTTAGTTTTTGTGTTTGCAATATCGAGTGAATTACGTCTTTTAATATTTTTTTTATACATAGAATTTTTAATCTTGCTACAGCAGTGTCTGTCAAAACTTTTCATCTCGTGTAACATATATCTTATATATCACTGAAATGGTCGAGTGGTTTCAAATAGTCGTCCACTCGTATTGCGTGTATCGAATAAAAGTATTGAGGATGCAGGAAAAAAAAGGTGTTCCGAATAGCAATACCGTTTTTCTTGGGAATTTTCCTTTCTTTATTCCCGGCTCCCGCCTTCCTGGGCCATGAAATTGCCTGAGGTCTTCGTTGCCACATTGTTGATTGACAGTTTCATTGTTACCATTTTTTCTAACAACTGCATATGCATTCGAATTTCACGCTTTTATAAACGCTTTCATTAAACGTCCTTATTTATATTCGATAGACGATAAGGATGAAGTGTAGTTTCATGAGCGTTACTAGGGTTGCTAGGTTGCTAGCGTGAATCACATTCGGATGTGGAGGAGAGAGATTCGTTGCTAGGACGTTGCTTACGGGGGAATGCTACTCGCTGATTGGTCGTTTCGAGTAACGTTTTACCACGTCGTGTGACGTGTGTCGCCGGTGGCATCCTTTTTAATCGTTTCTTCAGTTCTACGCTGTCGCGAGTGGTAGTATTTTCTCGTCCCATTAATTTCTGTTATTTCTGTTGTATCGGCTGTATTCTGTGTTATTTCTGTTGTGCCTATATTTCGTAAAATCTCGTGGATCGCGCTCGACGTGGACTGACTCAAAAAATTTATGTAATCGTTGGGTTTTTTTAAGTATTCAAATGGGACCAATCGTGCTTTCTCTATACATTATGCAACTCGTGATTGGTCGGATGGACCAAATGACGAAACAATATAATATATTATAGTTAATGTACACAAGCCATCAGTAGAGCATCGACATAGGTTGGCCAGCCCCGAAGATTTCAGCATCATTTGTTTGTTACCTTACTGCTCGACGTAGTGGTGAATCTCGAGAACTTTGGAAACTTCGTTCCACTTGGTCGCGTGGAAAATAATTAGTCAGCGGAGCACGTGCGGAGGTAAATAGAAGTAAGGATGTGCATTTAAATTCTTGAGATTTGACACGAAATTTTCAGTCCCAGGGCCTCTATTCTTGAAAAGAAACGTATACGAATAATTAGATAAATGTTACAGTATACGTAACGTGTATTATAGTATTTCCTTAGTTGTACGTTTACCCAAAATTTTGATTTTTAATTGGCACGAGATAAATAAATATAAAATAGCGTTGATGTTTCTCTGAATCTGACACAGTTAACAAGTTTTGCATTGCTTGCAATTTTTTCGGAACCTTCTCTTGTTTTTTCCTTTTACGCTCTAATATATATTTATCTCGTTTCAAAGTGAAATATTTTCGACTTTCAAATAACGCTAACAAGCCTGTTAATATGGAGCTTATTTTTCATTCCTGTATTAGAACTTTCTTTCTCACTTCAGAAAATCGCGAATATCACTGTAACTTCCAAAAATACATCTTAATTCATCTGATAGAAACATCTGTGTTAATTAATAGGTACACCCAAGGACTTAATTCTTTTCTTCGGTTATTTTAAAATTTTCAAAAATTCAGGTTATTTCATCTTTACATCAAATTTAGTTGTAAACGGACATAAGGTTTAATCGTGTCATTAATCATGCACGGACTATGAACATTAATGTAGAAAAGTGGTCATTTCTCAATTTGTGAAAATTTCCGAGGGAAAAAATCAAAGTCCTTTGATGTACTAACGATATTGATCCGGCATTGTAAATTAATGAACTACGAAGCCATGATGTAAATCAATGTAGCCATGATATCCATACATCGTGGGTGCATTCCAAATTATGCATAAAGATACGATTTGTCCTTGTTATTCACTAAGTAATAAAGAAGGATAAAATGATATGTGCAACTCTGAACATACCCTAAAAATGTAGCTATGGCTGCGTTCGCTTTTTCGCTCACAGCGCTTGTAAGCATCAATTATCCTTGTTTAATATTTCCAATTCTTTGTTTTTTTAAATTAATTATATATTATATCATTATTTGTGTACATGTTTCGATTAATCTTTTAGCCTTCTTCAGCAAAATTACAGTATATGTTACAACACGTTGATTATCCATGAATAGTATAAAAGTTGTATGTTGAAATAACAAGGATGAAGCAACACTTAAAAGCGTTGTGAACACGCAAAAGCGAACACAATCTATGTAACATTGAAAATAGAATCGAGAAATCTTAATTTTTGTAACCTTCGCTTGTCACCTTTATATCTGAAAAGGTGACAAGTGCACGCTGAAAGTTTATAATAGCATCTTTTTTTTTGTATAGAATATATTAACTGTCATATGTTTCTAAAGTACTGTAAAGACATAAGATTCTTTTTGTTTTTCAAAATGCTTCGCGTTTTGAAACGAATATTGATATGACATTGGAAATATAGCTTTTTTATGAGAATTCATAGGATTTTGAATAATTGGATGATAAAAAAATTGTGAATTGAAAATTTTAAATATCTTCTTAATTTCTAATAACTAAACTACAACTGCAAAATATCTGGCGATTTTCTACAGTTCTTAATCAAAGAAATGTTGAGAAAGGTTGAGGACATTCAGAGAATTATATCTTAGTTTTAGGCTACAGTTTACCGATGCTGTGACACACTGACACAAATGTTATCTTTCTTAGCGTTCCATGAGTAACAAAGACAGAAACCGGTATCGGTTGTATAATGGAAGGCGTCCTGTGTTACATATATTATAGCATAAATGCACATCGGATTTATCTCGTATGTTATTTGGGCTCAATTTCTGAATATTCAAATACTTATTGCCAGTAATTTATATACACGTAACACATACTGTAGATTTTCACTGATAGCAAATATCGAAACATTGATATTCGTGAAAGTTGGAAAGTTGATACAAAATTATCAAGAGCACATTTTTTTTCTTCCCAATATCCTGTTTAATTTAAAGATAAATTGTATGATAAATCAATGGAATTATTTTTCAAAACATTTAATTTTCTAATTTCGTCATTAGATCAAAGAAAACATGTCTAAACAAGAAAGAGATAGAGGTTATGATGATCCCTATGAACCATCAACCAGTAGTGGACATCGCAGATCTAAACCATATGAAAGAAAACGATCGGAGTCGGTAAGTAAGACATGACATTAGGAAAAAGAAATGGTTGCTTCTTTATAAATATTAAGTTAAAAAAAAAATAATACAGAAAATAAACCGTAGTTTTGAAATATAAGTTATTACATTTTATAATTATTCAAGAACTTTTGCTAAATCAAAAAAAGTATACTTTTTCTGAATATAATTTGATATATGTAAACCGAGTTCAAATATATGTTGCCAATACTGAAAATCTGTAATATATGTAATGAGCAAAGTATATACTATAGTTTGGTATGTCAATGCATATTGGAACACATTAATCATGTGGCAATATTATAATTTTATTCAAAAAGATAATATCATATAAACAGGCAATTAGCAATTGGCGCTGTAGACGTGCACAGTTTTTGTTTTACGGTTTATCTTCTGTATTATTTTTTTTGTTTCTTTAAATTAATTATATATTATATCATTACTTGTGTACATATTTTGCCTGAGATGTTTGCTGAGGAAAGCTAATCTTTTAGCTTTCCTTAGCAAAATTACAGTATATGTTACAACACGTTGATTATCCATTAATCCTATAAAAGTTGTATGTTGAAATAACAGTTGATATTATTGTGTGGCAGTAACATTCCTCCATTTTAGAATAAAAATTCTCAGTTTGAAAGCTAAATGGTAGTGAATTATAATTTATGTATATGATAAAGGCAATCTCTATATTTTTAAAGAAATGTTTTATACAATTATTTTTTATTCTTATAAACAAAACAGTGTACAATTGTATTTTGTAATTAACTATTTTTTTTTTACAGGATCATTATCATAGAAGAGGATCACTAAAAGTTAGTATAATTTGCAATATTGTTATTTTAAATATAATATTTAAATCTAGTATATTTTTTTGTTTGATATATATTAAAAATACATTATCGCCCATTAATTTTAATACATTTCAAATTCGTTAATTTCTCTGTAAAAGATGAATGCATGTTAAATGAGAGTAAAGAAGGGTTACAAGCCAAAGTACAAATTTAATACGTGATAAGATACAAATAAAAATAAAAATATAATATTACATTAAAATAACAAACGTTTCATCTCTGATTTTAATACACGCAGGCGAGATGAAGCGTTAATTCTCAAGAATTTCTCTCAATTCACTTTTTCTTTCATTAGAAATTTCTTTGGCATATATTATATGTTTAACATAGATAATGACCCGATCAGAGTCGAAACGTTTGTTGTTTGAATGTAATCATATTTTTATTTTTATTTGTATCTTACCATGTACATTAAATTTGTTATTTTGACTCGTAACCCTTAACTCACTCTCATTTAATTTCATTAATTTCATTTCTTGAGCCATATTATATTATATGAATGTATATGAATGTATGTGTTTTACACAGAAATGAGCTAGATGAATCCACCTACTGTTATGAACTCTTTGATCATTTGCGTACATCGTATTTATACATTATTTATGTAAACATCTTTAAAGATTAATTTTAGAAAGAACGAGATTAATCCAGATATTGTTTGATTTCTAGAGATAAACAAAATATTCATGTAAGGTCACGAGATACTTATAATGATATCAAAAATAATATCAGAACATATTCAATGTTGTTTTGAATTCTTAAAAATCGATATTATTGATATTATTGATATTACTTATTAATATTAATAATTATATGTATTAATAATATAATGTAAATTATATTAGTAATGCTTTCTTTTTGCCACTATGTATGCGTTACATACAGTTTCGAAGTAATTGGCGAACCTGATAGTCATGATGAATATACGTTCATCCTGGATATGTTATGTCCGATCAGAGAAAACTAATTTCAAGCGGAAAGATATCAATGACGCCTAGTACTGAACTTCCGCATTAAAGAGGATTCAAATCTAGAGTTAAAATGTTACGGTTAATTTTGATAAGAACATTCCAATTGCATATTATATCTTACTGTCTTATGAATATGTAATTTCGCACTAACAATTGATATAAGCATTTTACTTGTATTAAATTTATTCTTAGAGCCATAAAAACTATTAATCTAATTTATTTTAATAAAATTTAAAAATTTATGAAAATAAAATTAAATAAAATTTATAAGAATAGGCAATGCGTTATTCTATTATAGCAGAGCACCCATTATTGCGCAGACGATTATGCAGTTCCATCTACATCCAAACATGAGCCAATGGAAGATGTATCAGGTAAGTTTTTATATCTTTTTATCATATTCTCATTTAATTTTTTTTAATTATTAATTTTACATAAATAGAATCTACATTTTTTAATTAGAAACTATAAAAGATTTATATTTTTATTATTTAGAAAAATACAATAAATTTAACTTATATTATTTAATATAAATTATAAGGTCAAACAAAAATGTTTATATATAATAATTAAAGATAAGGTTCAAATCAAAACTGAAATTAAAACTGAAATGGAAAGTGAAATGGAAGTTGAAGTGAAAAGTGAAAGGGCTGAATCAACACAGACGACACGTTCTCGACGTAAGATGGAACCTGTTTTTGTTAGTAGACCCAGTACTTTAGTCTCTAAAAAAGGTTAGTATAAAATCTTAATGTGCTATGCGCAATATATATATATGTATATATATATATATATGTGTAAACAGAGTATGGCATTTTCTGTACAAACTTTGACATTTGTATTCTAGTTTTAATTAAAAAAAAATTTTTTTAAATATTTCATTAAAAAGTTATAACAAAAATTTGCAATATATAAATAAATAATTTTATCAAGTTTCTGCTTCAAATTGCTATCTGCTCGTGTTAGTATGTGTTTAACATGATATAATTTTGAATTTATCATTTTTTTTTTTTAATCACAAGAAAAGTAATAAATTCAAAATTATATCAATATTAGTATTAAGATGGACAACAATTTCAAATGCAAACTTAGGTAAAATTATTTTTTTACAAATTTCGTATTTTTGTTATAATTTTTTTCCCATGTAAGGATTTTCTCTACTCTAAGAAATAGATACGATACCAGAGATTGGAAATACAGTATTTTATGAAAACTTGTGGAATATTAAATATTTTTATAATAAAATTGTGAATTATCTATCGTATATATTATAATTTTCATAGGCATATCAGAAAAAAAAAAATAAATAATATTACCATTTTTGTAATTAATTTCTATCAATTTATAGGTAAATCTGGTATATCTATAATGCTTAATTCAAATCACTTCAGACTACCTACAGTACCCAATTGGTGTATATATCAATACAGGGTAGATTTTGAACCTGAAGAAAATCGAACATTTATTCGCAAAGGCATGCTTAAATTCCATAAAGATAAAGTCGGTCCATATATTTTTGATGGTACCATTCTGTTCTCGAGTACACGTTTACCAGATGTAAATATATCAATATATCTTATATTATTGCACTAGCGGATATGTGTGATTAAATATTTTCATAAATATGTATGAAATATTTCAGAAAATCGAGCTGACATCAGTAAGGAAATCGGACAATACACCCTTTAAAGTAACTATATATTTAGTTGGAAGAATGATGCCTGAGGATCCACATTATATAACTATTTTTAACATAATAATGAGGAAACAATTGGAATATTTAAATTTACAATTGGTGGGCCGCGATTATTATGATGCCTATAATAAAGTTAGTAAAAAGTTTATATGCATACTTTTTCTTTATTTTATTAAATGAAAAATTTAATCATTTTTGTAATAACTATGTGATTGTTATAGATTAGTGTACATCAATTTCGATTGGAATTATGGCCCGGCTATATTACATCCATTAGACAACACGAACGCGATATTTTATTAAACGCTGAAATAACGCATAAAGTAATGCGTCAAGAAACATTATATCATGTATTAATGGATTGCTACAGACACAGTAATAATTATAGAGTAAGTAAATTTTTAAAGTTAATTTTTATTTATATATCTTACATATTTATTTTTAATTTTATTTATTTAAAAAATACAAAATCTAATTTAAATTTGTGACATATTTTAAGATTGAGTCCAATGCTAAAAAGTAATAAAGATATATATAAATATACATAAATATATATATAATATTATTTATATTGTCTTTTATTCATAAGCAATTCAATTGAAAATTTTTTGTTTACATTTTACTTTTACACAATAAGATAAAGTAAAAAAGTAAACTTGGAGATATCAAAAATTTCTTAAATTTATTTTCATGTATATGAGCAATTTTGAAACATCTGTTGATCCAAAATTCTGTTTAAAAACAGTTATCACAGATTATAATACTTATCATAGATTATATACTGTTGTATTTTTTATTTTATGTACTCTAAAAATAACAAGAATTATATACATTTTAGACAGAATTCTGTAATAGTGTGATTGGAATTATGGTACTTACGGACTACAACAATCACACTTATCGGATTGAAGACGTAGATTTCGAAACTAATCCTTCTTCGACATTTCCGATGAAAGATGGACAACATATATCATATCAGGAGTATTATAAAACTAAATATAAAATAAATATTTCAAGTGCCTCGCAACCTATGCTAGTAACAAGAACCAAACCAAAAACGCGAAATGCCGGGCAAGGAGATCTTGTGTATTTGGTTCCTGAATTGTGCCGTGCTACAGGTTTGACACTTAAATAATATATTTAAGTTTTTTATTTAATAAATAAGTATATAAATTTGTACTGATGGAACCTTTTTATAGGTTTAACTGACAGCATGCGAGAAAACTTTCATTTAATGAAAGCGTTAGCGGTACATACCTGCATCTCACCTACCTCCCGTATAGACAAACTTATACAGTTTAATAGTAGACTCCGCCAGGAACCAAAAGTCTTGCAAGAATTTAAAAATTGGAATATGTCATTAGACAAGAATTTGTTAGAATTTCCTGGTAGGCTGCTAAATTCTGAAAGACTTTTATTTGCTGATAACAGATATATAAACAGTTCAAATGGAGATTGGACAAGAGACATGCAAAAAACACATATGTTGAAATCTACAGCGTTGAGACGTTGGATAGTACTTGTGACTGAGCGAGACATGCACGTTGTACATGTAAATAACTTTCACTAATACATATATATAAAATATAAATAATATATACATATATGAAAATATTTACTTTAATCTTGGATTTTACAGAAATTTATAGAAACGCTGCTGTTTGTGTCACATGGAATAGCATTCAGAATTGATCAGCCGCGAATACAGACCATACGTGATGATAAGGCAGGCACATACGCCGAAAACCTTGAATATATTTTGAGCAAAAGTGCGCCAGATTTAGTGTTCTGCGTAGTGAGCAATAATCGTAGCGATCGGTACGCAGCTATAAAAAAAAAATGTTGCTTGGATAGACCTGTGCCATCACAAGTTTTTTTACAAAAAAATTTGAGTGGTAGAAACACCATGACTATTGCTACGAAGGTAGCAATACAAATGAACTGTAAATTAGGCGGAGCACCTTGGACTATCGAGAATCCATTGAAAGGATTAATGGTCATTGGATTTGACATATGCCATGACGCAAATACTAAGGGCAAAGATTTTCGTAAGTATCTTTTAGTATTAATTTGATATTTTTATTTTAATATTTCAATAATTATTTATTTTTATTTTAATTTTTGTTTTTTTTTTTTAATTTGAATTATCCAAATATTTTAATTAAGGATGCACCAAATATCGGGAAATATCAAGTAGTTTATATTATTCGGCACTTTTTTACTATCTGACAGGATAGCCAGATGTCATTAGTATCCGGTTGAAACTTTATATTGATAGTTTACGCCATTAATGCAGAATTTTATTCTTTTCAAATGAATTTCTAACATTGTTCTTTCCTCTTTTTCTTATCATGTTGAAAAGACAAAAAAATTATCAGCGCTGTTTTTTTGCTGTTCTTTTTTTTTTGAAAGCCATTTTCCAAATGTCCGGCAGGATATCCGGGGATAAGTGCCTTACCAGATATTCGATCTGAAAACAAATGTAACGCTGATAATCGGTATCCGGTAATTGTACTATTCGGTGCATCCCTAATTTTAGTTATGAACTAAAATAAATCATTCTAAATTTATAATTATAGTGACTATGGTGGCAACTGTGGACCAAACGCTGACACAATATTTTAGCTCTATTGCTTTATTTCATAGCAACGAAGATCTCGGTGACCAACTTTGCGCAAGTGTAAGGAAAGCTATCATGGCTTATAAAGAAAGAAATAAGGCTTTCCCTATACATCTTGTAATTTATCGAGATGGTGTTAGCGAAGGTCAACTCAGACAAGTTTATGAAAATGAGGTGCAAAAATTAGAAAAGGCGCTTGAAAAATTGTATTATGGTCCGAATTTTAAGTTGATCTTTATTATTGTAACTAAAAAAATTAACGTTCGGTTGTTCGATATGAGAGGTCGTAACGCTAATCCACGTACCGGAACAATAGTAGATGATGTAATCACCAATCCGCTAAGGTACGATTTTTTTATTGTGTCACAACAGGTTAGGCAAGGTACAATTTCACCCACTTCGTATAATGTGATTTTTGATAATACTGGACTGGAAGTAGATATAGTTCAAGTTGTTACATATAAGCTGACTCACATGTACTATAATTGTTCAACTACTGTCAGAGTACCAGCGCCCTGTCATTATGCGCACAAATTATCGTTCTTAGTGGGACGATTTCTACATCAACCTCCAAATTCACAATTGGAGAAACAGCTATTTTTCTTGTAACAAGAAAACGGTTTTTTCCCATTATATATATATGATTATATATAATATATTTATGTGTAATCACGTTTTGCAACAAGAAAACGCGGACACAATTTGTTGTTAACATTGCGTCACATAATTAACTATCAAATTATACTTTTTGAAATTCCATATTTTTTATTTGAAAGCCAATTGTGTGACAATGTTTCTTGTTATAAAACTTCCGATATATTTTGTATACTTAAGCTTAGGTTAACTAAAAAAGTGATTAAAATGTTCACGTTTTTATTTTGATATTTCCTAAGAAAATCACTTGATGTGCCAAAAATTATTCTGATAAGTTCCTAAGAAATAATTCAGATAAAGTATTGCAAAATCAAAAAATACATATATGTATAATATTTATATGTATAAGTTGAATATCTTTTTTTATATATTTTTAGCATTTTATTTAACATTTTATGAATAGCATAAGAACTTCTTAAACTTTTAATATCAAATATGGGTTTTTTCCGCGAATAATTACAGATGTAGCATAATTATAATAGTTTCAGATATGCTGACCAATTCAAAAAGCCTAATGATATGTAACATATATATCATAGATACAAAGTATTTTTTGAAGATTAAAAAAAATATCTCTTTTAAAAGATATTTTTTACGTGCATATTGTATATGTATGTAATAAGGTAATCGAATAACCTTATTTTATTAATACATTAATCAGTAATTTATGACGTCTTTAAATATGACGTTGTCAGTAATTTACGACATCTTTTGTACAGAGTGTTGCAGATACATACTAGACAATACGACAGGTTGTATAATAAACTTTGCATGGGCAGGCGCGGTTTTATAAATAATGACGGTAACTTTATACATTATACTACAAAGTTTTATTATTTATATTATAAAGTTTATATTATAAAGTCACCGTCGTCATCTATTGAACCGTCATCTATTGCCTGCCAAAATTTGTCGCGCAATCCGTCGTACTGCCTAATATATATCTGCAACACCCTATAAGTCTTTAAGACATAAAAATGTTGTAAAGCTCCTGGGATAGTTACATCACAGCCATATATTTAATCGCGACGTCAGAAACGAGAAATAACATGTTATAAATAAAGGCAATTTGGATAAAATAATAAAGATTGCTTTAAAACATTTATAAAAATGGACGAATGGACGAAAACTATGACATAACTAATTATGCTTATTCTCCCTTAAATATTTATACAAAAATGCAGATAAAAAGCACATGTAAATAAAATAGGCTACGCATACGCATTGAATGAAAACATTTTACGTGCTTTTTGTCACTTTTTATGATTATTTACCGTCAGAGAGAATAAGCATAGCTTTAGTCCATTATTTTAAAGTGATCTCATCATTTTATCCAAATTATTTTATTTTACAAATGGTAATAAAAATTGGCTGTAGTGACTATTTAGAATAGTGATTATTATTCAAGAGCCTTAAAAGTAAGAGTACAAATCATTATCAGATTATTGAATCCAAAATTTCATTTAATTTTACGCGATATCTTATCATTTCAACTGGAATTGACATTGCTAATGTTTATTTCAGTTATTTGTTAAAAAATGATGGTAATCATTTTTTTCCACACATTTATTTTTCATTCACGTAAATATAATTCGATTTATTTTATAAGATTTTTCTATCATAAATATTATTTTAGCGTAAACGTTTTTATTTTATTTTATCCATGTAATACAATGCGTTTACATAAATGTTGTTTATAAATGTGTATTTGTTCAATATATGAAACTGAAAAATGAAACTGTCAATTATATAAGTATATGAAAGCGCGTTGTTCGAACTATTAAAATGTAAACAATTCTTATTAAATATAAATACACTTCTAAAATATAGATAATTTATCCCACTGATTTGAACAATTTGATAAAAAAACAACTCAGATTAAAAATCAGATTAGAAGAATAAATTAGAAATTCATAATTTATATCCTTAATTTATATTGAACAGAAAAAAATTGATGCTATATTCTAAATATACAATCGTACAGTATGACACAAATTGCAGAAATTAAATTATGTTTTGATTTCTGTAATTTTTGTAAAAATTTGAATTTAGTGTAATAATACCTCCAAGATGCGTACTCGTTATGATTTTTCTTGTTTCGATTATGTTTAACATGAATGTATCTTTTGTTCTCAAGAAGGATGTATTTAGAAGGTTATATAAAATTAGACAAAATCGTATGGAATTATATGACATAAAATCATGGAACTGGAAGAATATTTTATGAATCTTCAGTTGGATAAACCATTACCCGATGTAAGGGTATGTAACGTCATTAATGGTTTCATTTCCTTCGCTTGTCTTCATTTGCACGCGTGTGTGTAATTTTACTCGACAGCCTTTATAATCAGCATTCAAGAACTTTTCTCTGATACTGATGTTGAACAAACATCCATGCGATTCAATTACACGCTTCACCGACCTCATTTAAATAATCCTTACTTAGAGTGAAGAACAGTTGCAAAAGCACTCCTTGGATGCTAACTTGGAAAGGAAACCTATAGATAGAGCACTACATATCCTCTTGTGAGTAAATTACGCGCTTTAAATTCTGATATCGAATAATTAACATTAATGATTCAAATCTCAGTCTTTATTAATTTAAAGATAAAATCTTAATACGTATTTGCGTAATACATTTTTAAACTTTAAAGGAAACCTACAGAGCACTCCTCGTGTAAGTAAATTATGCGCTTTAATCCGATATTATTGAATAATTCAATGCTTATATTATTTTTAAATGATCCTTTTCTAATTCAAAGTTCTTAATCTACGTGATATATATTTTTAATCGTTATTTCTGCTTATCAATATTTTTCTTACTATTGCATAAGCGTCGATATATTGAGTATCAAAATTGTTATTAGCTGAAAATTTTTATGTACGCAAACTTGCACACGTGAGAGCAGTTTTACCTGCATTGCTTCGATAAATCGACTTGTTAAACCTTGATCGGAAATGCATAATTTCCTTGCGATTGCCGAAACAAGGTCAGCACGGCGTTAATTAAATCTTGTGAACATGTATAAACGTGTTTTCAAGGTGGCAGTAGATATTCTTCAATGTAGATAATGATGTATTTATACGATAATTTACAATCGGACTGACAAGCAATAATTGAAAGCTTTAGTTTACATTCATGAACACTTAATCTTATGATGCCACAATTTTACAAGATTTTAAAAATCTATTGTGCAGGTAAAAAATATTATTCATAAAGTGAACGAAGGTAAGAATTATAATCGGTAAAGTGTTGTGATCGGTAAAGTGTGTGATTGTTTCAATAATTCCTTTAAAATTAGAAATAAGAAGAAAACCTATTCTAAACTCTGAAATATCAAAAAAGCAATCCATGAATGCTAACAATTGCTGTAATAATTAAAAAAATTGATAAAAAGAAATATTAAGAAACAGATATACCTATATACGTATTTAATAATTATTTTCAAACTGAACGTTCAAACGTTCCTCCTGTAAACAATATAAAACGACTATAGTCGCAACAATCGCACTACGATTGGCGACGATCCTTTCAATGTCACCGCGTCCGGAGTGGATCACCAGCGTTCAGGAAACACTCGATCGATTAGTGCGTAGATTCTTTTTCCCGATGCGTCGGGGCCGGCGCATCGGATTGCCGGATGACGCGATCGTTAAATCATCTTTTGTGTCACGCCAGTGGGTTACGCAACAGCGCCCTCGGCGTGTACTAACCGTGTGCATCCGCGAGATGCGTCACGACGACATGCGCGCGTCTTCTCGACAAATCCAGTTGATACGTAGGTCGGGTTCGTCGCGTATTTGTGCGCGGCCAGCAGTCGTGTTCCAAGTACCGAGTGTTGGGGTACCTAATTACGGATGGCACGGATGGTCGCGAATCGGATGTGATCGATAGACGCGGAGATCGGATACTTGCCTCGCTCGCTGTTCAGTTGTCATTCACGTTCTCGCGGGTTGCACGTGGCCGCTTTCTCCGCACACTCGCGTATTGTGTCATTTGTGTCATGGGAGCGCGTACGCGCGTGCCATTCGCGTGAGAGGTACATACATCCCCGACCGCGATTAATCGATCCTGCCGCTCTCGCTGGCTGTGACGAAGTCGATGAGTAAGATGCGCCTCGAAAATGCTGCAAGAGGGAGATGAAACCCCATACGAGATCGCGTCCGATCCGTGAGTACCCGGACGCGTCTTCCCCGTCGTGTCATGTCACCTCACATAGCGTTGCGTCGCGTGAGGTCAATCAAGAGTTCATCCCCTTGCCGGGAATCAAGTTTGTTACCCTTCTCATCCCGCGCGCGCAACTCCTAAAAATAGCCACGCGGTCGTTCAAGGAGCAGCGCACTGTCCTGTCATAGTTGAGCGCGCTAATTATAGTCCTTTAAAGACGACATTCCACGCGCGAGGGATGTCAGGATCGTGAAAGGTTCGCGGAACATCCGAGAGATTAATTAAGAGCATCGAATAGTAGACAATTTTTATTTATTACTTATTATGGACTATACTTTCCATTTGGTGACACAAGTATCTATTTTTGTTCTGTTATTCTTTGAACATCAAGAAAGATAGAATTGATCCTTGTGTCATTGAGAGTGCTTTACAGCAACAGACACAGTGACACAGTAACAGTCCATTATTACGTCCTTGTTTACCAATTTAAAAATGAAATGATAATTGTCTTACAATGTGTCTCTTGATGGAAAGTATCCAGTATAAGACAAGTGTGATTATTTCATCTTTATTCTTGACAAACAACAAGAATATACTGATTCATTGTATTGCACCGTGTTATTTGTTTCTTGCTAAATCTCTTTTAGTGACACAAGTATCATTCTATCGCTATTCATTGAATGTCAAGAAAGATAGGAATGTTTATGTCAACTTATGTTAATAAATGGAAAGCATTTGCTATGAGGTGCTTCCCATTTGTATTTCCCAGCAAGACACAGTACAAGATAAAAA